TGACTTGGGAATGATTCTCCATGATATATTTTTTCTGGCATAAGTAAAAACATGCACACACAACACACTTGAGTTTCAGAACTCAGGCTATAAGTCATAGAGACAGAATTGTTGCTGGTAAATAGCAAAAGGCTGGAACAGGAATCTTATTACATTCTTTGACAAAATGACAAAATTAGTGGACCAGAGGAATGCTGTTGATATAATTTACTTGGACTTCAGTAAGGCGTTTGATAAAGTAGACCATAACCTACTACTTGATAAAATAGAAAAAGGTGGGTTAGACAGCATCACCAGCAGATGGATTTGTAACTGTCTGACCAACACTCAGTGTGTAGTCCTCAATGGAACTGCATCTACATGGAGGGAAGTATGCAGTGGGGTACCCCAAGGCTCTCTTTTAGGCCTAGTACTCTTCAACTTCTTCATCAATTATTTTGAGGAGGGGTAGATAGGGAACTCATCAAATTTGCAGACGACACCAACAGAATAGCTAACAGTTGGCTATTCTGCCTAGCAGAATAGCCAACACTCCAGAAGATAGGTTTAAGATACAGAATGAACATTGGGCACTATCTAACAAAATGAAATTCAATGGTGAAAAAAGTAAGGTTCTACATTTAGGCAAGAAAAACAAAATGCACAAGTACAGTATATGTGGTACCTCACTCAGTAGTAATAACTGTGAGAGGGGTCTTGGAGTCCTAGTGGACAATCATTTAAATATGAGCCAGCAGTGTGTTGCAGCTGCCAAAAAAGACAACACAGTTCTAGGCTGCATAAACAGAGGGATAGAATCAAGATCACATGAATATATCACATGAAACCACTTTATAATGCCTTACTAAGGCCACACTTGGAATACTGTATCCAGTTTTGGTCACCACAATATAAAAAAGATGTTGAGACTCTAGAAAGAGTGCAGAGAAGAACAATGAAGATGATTAGGGGACTGGAGGCTGAAACATATAGAGAACAGTTGCTGGAACTGGGTATGTCTAGTTTGATGAAAAGAAGGACTAGAGGTGACATGATAGCAATGTTCCAATATCTCAGGGGCTGACACAAAGAAGATGGAGTCAAGCTATTCTCCAAAGCACCTGAGGGTAGGACAAGAAGCAATGGGTGGAAACTAATCAAGGAGAGAAGCAACGTAGAACTAAGGAGAAATTTCTTGACAGTTAGAACAATTAATCAGTGGAACAACTTGCCTCCAGAAGTTGTAAATGCTCCAAAACTAGAAGTTTTTAAGAAGAGATTGGATAACCATTTGTCTGAAATGGTATAGGGTTTCCTGCCTAAGGAGGGGGTTGGACTGGAAGACCTCCAAAGACCCTTCCAACTCTGTTATTCTGTTCTGTTCTGTTCTGTTCTGTTCAATAGAAAGAAAACAAAAATGGATTTCTACCAGGCCAATTAAACAGTACTTGGTGAAGAACTAGAGCTCATCACAAAATGTATTTTGAGTTCCAGATAATATTACTCCAGTAGCATTTCTATTACTAGAAAATATTGCATTTGAGTATGATACACAGAAGTATTTTATACAATACCATTAATATATTCCAACACAGACCATATAGATTTATTATATTAAGCAATATACTGATCATTTAAAAAAAAACTACCCCAATATATAAATAAATATTTAAGAGTTGATCTATAAATGACTTACAAAAACTTTGGATAGTTATTTTCCACTTGTAACCTGGCTTGACTATTGTGATCAGTGTATAGCCAAGTCTCAGGCAGAATGATGATATCACAAGCAGTTTCAAGTGACTCAAAGATCCCATATCAATATTTTCCTTCATCTTCCACCTCCCTCCTTTTATTTATTTTTTTAAAGATACATTGAAGCTGTTTTGGGGAAACCGAAACAGGTTTCCCAGCTCTCAGTGCAAATACAAGAAAACCTGGAAGAATTGCAGTAATGTAGCTAAGAGTTACAGAGCATTCGCCATGGTGACACAACAATGACATTATGTACTTGCATCTCACCTTCAAGCAAATACATGATGACATTGAAGTCATGGTTCATCCCTTTCCCATTTCCAATGAAGAAGTCAGTTTACCTAAGACCTCCTTAAACTTGATCAACATAACATACAACATGAATTATGATTGGCAAGTTCCAGGTTTTATTTACATTTAGGATGTCTGTGTCTACCTTCTAAAAAGGTTCAACTGAGGTAAAAGTAACATTAATAAAAAATAATAAAAATGTAAAAGAAAAGACATAAAAGTAACCAGTAAATACAATAGGAATAAAAGAATCTATCAACTGAAGTTATTAAAATTGCTCACAAATCAAGGCCTCTTAATAAGAAGTCAAAATTCAAAAGTTCAAGTTCAATTTTGCAATGAACTCTGGGCATTAAAATGTTGATTCTCTTCACAGGGTTTTATAACAATTATTGTGATAACCTGAATTTCTTTGTTATAAAAGTACTACATAAATAGTGAGAATATAGTCACTTATGTGGATAGACTCTATACAACTTACTTCTGAATTAGACACATAAATGAATACATGATAATTTATTAGCTGACCTGCTTAGGAATCATCAAGAAACTATAACAAAGTAAAGCAAGAGTGTGTACACTGGTAGAATATTCATTTTAAAAATAGGAAAGCTAAGGTTATTCACAATGTTATAGATCATAGAATGTTGGGGAAAACACAGATAAAATACTAATAAAGAAGCAGAATATTTTAATGCCTGATAAAATTTCTATCTATGCAATATGAAGTATGGGGGGAATTAAAGGTAGCTCCCTAATTACAGCTGATAGTAATGGTAGTATTTTTTAAGAGAAAAAGTATTTGAATGCTATTTGTATATTCTGAGGATGTCTTATGGAAACTGAACTAGGAAAAAAACAAATTTCTATCCACACAGAAGAAGGGTTATAATGTACATTAATACTGGAAAACATTCAAAAGAATTTAGACTTTTCAGTTTTACTTATCTGAAGGGGCCCTTGCAAACAAACATGAATTACATGCAAGATTGTGCAAGCCTAACTTCCGGATGCAAAGGCAGCAAGATGAATCATCCTGCTTAATTACCTACCTACTAGTGGAACTCCACTCATGGTGGAAAAAAACAAATCTTGAATCTATCTGAGGCAGAGGGAAAGAAGATAGGGGGATATTCATCAAAACATTGAATATGGGGAAAGGGATAAATTTTTCCATCTAGTATTATAACTCAAATGTGTTCCATGGAATCAAAGTCAACAAATTAGCATGTTTATTCTTTTGATATTCAGTAATTCTGTCAGGCATTTGAATTCAACCATCAAAATCTATAAGTCTATCACTTAGTTTATATCCACCAAATACAAAATGTGCTTGGTCATTCAGACATTTAATGTCTTTTAAGTTATTTAGTAGCCAGTGGTTTTCCCCTTTTATAATGACTGCAATAGCAATAGCACTTAGACTTATATACCACTTCACAGTGCAAGTTCAAAAGGTTGCCTTAGCATGTCAGAAACTGAAGGAAATGGAAACTAGATAGGAACTCTCTTCTTCGGTCCATGATGTATTATGGAGGCATTGAATTTGGCAGCTGTCATTACAGGTAATCCTCGACTTATGACCACAATTGAATCCAAAATTTATGGTGCTAAGCAAGACAGTTGCTAAGTGAATTTTGCCCCATTTTATGATCTTTCTTGCCACAGTTGATAAGTGAATCACTGCAGTTATAAAGTTATTGACATAGTTGTTAAATGAATCAGGCTTCCCCACTGATTTTGCTTGTCACAAGGTTGGAAAAAGCTGATCACATAACCCCAGGACATTGCAACCATCATAAATATGAGTCAGTTGCCAAGTGTCTGAATTTTGATCACATGGCCATGGAGATTCTGCAACAGTCATAAATGTGAAGAATAGTCATAAGTTATTTTTTCAGTGCTGTTGTAACTTATACATTGTAAATGAACTGTTGTAAGTTGAAGACTACCTATAAAAGAAGAAAAAAAAACATTTTTGCAATCTCCAGTTTGGATAGTCTGTCTTGACTAAAATTTAGGTGGGAGAAGGGGAGCTATAAAATCTCATAGATGAAGAAAAGGGTTGTAACCTATACAAATCACAAGCCCCAGAATGGAATCTTTCCAGTTGCTTTCTTTGGAGTGGATCCTCCAGAGCATACCTGGATGATTGGCAAAACCGAAAATTAAACAAAAACAACTCTTCAACGTGTCTAATGGGTGGGTATGTTGCACTTTTACCTTCCAGAGTAGTCCCCTAAATCGCTACCTGAGTTTGGAACGATGAACAATTTTTTAAAAAATGTTTTGTTTAACCTCTCAAGTTGCTTGCCGGCTGCTATTGGTGGGCATTTTCCGAAAGGGAGGGTTCTGTCTGGAAGGAGCGGCTGGGGATGCTACCCCGTCACATGATGGAAATTTCCACTCTTTTGACTCTTTGTCAAAAGGAGGAACGAAAAGAAAGGAGGGCGAGGTGGAGGGTGTCTGCTCACACTTCCTTCTCCGGAGCAGTACAACTTCTGGTCCGAAGGGTCTCCCGTAACCAGACGCGCCTGACAATATCTCGGCAAGTATACGGAAAGCTCTCCTGAAGCGGTCCTTGAAGCTCACCCCAAAGCCGCTGCCTTTTGCCACCAGTATTCCAGGTAAGAAAAGTGATCTTCTCGAGCGGCAGATACCGGGCGACCTGCAGCTGCGCGTCATTGGGAGAACACCGCGCTGGTTTTTCCTTTTCAAATCGTCCCGCCAGGGAGGGTGGCTGAAGCGGATGGCAGCTACGTCGATAGCAAACGGGGGGGAGGTGGTGACGCGCGCGCACACACACACACACACACACACACATACACACCCGGCTGCACGCCGTCGGAGCGATCCGGCCGAGCTTTTGTTCCGGCGAAGCGTTGCAGCCGATCTGGAAAGGCAGACCGGCGGGGGGGGGGACCTTGAAATGGGGTGGAGAAGGAAACAATACAGTGAGAGAGGGGCAGAGTGACAGAACAACGTGCAGGAAGGCAAAGCAAGGAACAACGCAACGGTGACGGGCAACTCGGGGCTGATTTGTATCAAAAAAAGAAATTCAGAAGGTTTATAATTAAACGCGCCTACTTATACAGTGCATTTAACAGCTATAAAGCACGACTGGATACAGTCCCTTGCAACTCCGATTAAGGCTAGAAAACTTTCTTCAGATCTCGCTCGTGGCTTAAGGGTAAGCAACGGGTGAGCAACAACCCGAGTTCAATCTCGAAGAGCTGGTTGCAGAGGACTGACCCGCGCCGCTTTTTAATTTTTTTCCCCGAAGCGAGAAGGCCCAAAGGCAGGGGCCATTCAGCAGGCGTGACTGAGTCAGTTCGCCCTCGTCAAGCCGCTGCCTTTCAGACGTGTTTGGACTCCAAGCCTCAGAGTTGCGGGCACGGCTAGATATTCTGCGAGCCGAACACATCTGCAAAGTACCCGCTTATGAGGAGGGGTCGCCGAAAGGTTCCAGGGACGGCGGATACGCCACGAGCGCTCCAAGCCAGACTGTGGCGAACGGCTCGGTATTAAGGAACACCTTGGCTCGTGGCGGCGACTGAGCAGGCCAGCAGGCTACCCTCGCCTCTTCCTCCTTTCCGTCAGGAAAGGGCTCTCGGGCTGACTGGGCAGAGGGCAGCTGTCAGAAGTACCTTCCTCGGCGCGCGGCTACAGGGGGTGTGTCGATGTGAGGCTCCTTGAGTCTGCGATAGGGTCGGCCGCGAGGAACGCTAGGATCGGTTGGAGGAGTGGGGATCTCCTCCCGAGCTCGGCCGGGCTCGTTGCCTGAGAGAGCATCTCTCTTTAGGGAGGGAGCGCTAGGGAGCAATGTGTCTTCTGCTCTTCATCATCATCGGTGGCCATTCTTGGATTTAGTATAGATGGGTTGCTCTCAGCCTGAGGAAGGGTGGCTGGAAGACAAGGCATCTTAAACCTTGAGTTGCTATGATCTCCAAATATGAATAAATAGATTTATGTGCCCTCCCCCAATGTTTTCATTGGGGTCTGAATTGGGAAAATGTAGTTCATATAACACACACACACACACACACACACACACACACACACACACACACACTTTTTAGATTTTAAACAACAAAACTGTAACTTTTAATAGGAAGGATGAGCTTGCTTACTTTTTTCAAAAATTTGATTTATATTTGATTTATATTTGATTTATACTTCGGCATAGTTCTTATAATCCAACTTTTATTTTTGAGACATCTATAACTTCCTCATTTGTTTTGGCATTATCTTTGCTCTTTATAGCTGGAACTTCTATAAATCCTAACTGCTATTCTTCTCACTAGGCTGAGCAGAACTGGGTTCTGAGAGCAGTCTAGGTTTGCAAAAGCCTTATGCATGGAAAGTAGCCTTGTGAGCCTTATGCATGGAAAGTAGGAGTCTTGCTAGAATTTGCTGTGAACTTTGGACAATCGTCCAAACTGTCCATTTGCCCAAGGAGTGAGGAAACAAGTTCTAGAAGTGATCATGCTTTGTGAGAGCAAGACGTCCCCAATTGTAATCTTTTCAAATTTCCTTGTGTCCCCAGGGGTGATCATGATCCACAATCCAAGAATACCTGGCCAAGACATTGTTATGCAGAATATAACAACACTCCAATAACAGGAAATTATTTCTTCATGTTCTACCTTTCAAGAGAATTCAGCCAGTCTAATGGTATAGTTTTATGCAAGACCAGTGGGATACACTCAACATGAATATTAAAATCATTTATGAATTGTGACAGTTGGACATCATTTCTTGATCTTTCCTTTTAGTTGCCTTAAAAACATCCACACACCTGCAAGTTATTTGTCTAATACCCAGTAAGTAACAGCTTTGTAGATATTATAATTTTTCAAGGCAGTTGTAAGTCCATCTCAGAGAAACATTAGGTTATGGAGGCAATGCTGTTCACCTTGTCACACAGTTTGTCTCACTGAAGCTATGATAACTTCCAGCTCTTCCAGTAGTTCACTAGAAATGCCAGGAGTTCTGCAGGTATGCAGCAAATACACAGAATCCTGGGTAAGGTCAGAGTGAAACAAAGTATGTACCATATTTATCGGAGTATAAGACGCAGCTTAGTTTTTGGGAGGAAAATGGGAAAAAAATCTGCCTACCAGGTATTCATCCAGCTAGTGTCCTCAGTCTGGTCAGCTTCAGCACATTAGTTTGCTGGTTTTGAGTGCGCGCACATGCTTTTTATCCCCTGCTTGGGGATAAAAAACAGCTTCTAAAGCAAAGCTGAGAGGGAGCAGCAATGAGAAAAAACAGGCAAAGCATTGAGATTGCTTCACTCGCTAGCACCTCGTTAGGGCTGAAAAAAAGCTTCTGAAGCACAGCTGAGAGTCAGAGGGAGCAGGCAAAGCTCGGAAAATCAGAAAATCGCTTCAAGGGCTGAAAAAAGCTTCGAAAAAGCTACATTCGGAGTATAAGACACACCCAAATTTTCAGCCTCTTGGGGGGGGGAGTGCATCTTATACTCCGAAAAATATGGTAATTGCACTGCTTTGTGGAGCAGTTTTGAAGGAGTGCTTTGATCTTTAGAACTGGGGATCAAGTTGCTTCATGGAGTAGCTTCAAAGAGGCATCATTGAAGCTTTGTACAGTTGCATTTTCGATCTGTATCCAAACAATATACTCCAAGGCTAAGCCTAAACACCACGAGTCATAGCCATATTAATATTCCCAGAACAAACTGCTGAGGACCAAAGTATTTCCCACTATTTAGTCTCACCTTTGTTCATTTCCCTTTCTGTCATAGAATTGCAAAAATAAAGGATTCATGAAAAGCGTATTAAACTGACTTTTCATGATTCTGTGACTAATGAATATTGAGTGATGGCATATGTTTAAAGTATGGGTGGTTATACTTTAGTTTTCTGTACTAGATTAAAATCCTTCGTTGTTGCACATATAGTTATTTGACAATTAGAATATTTGTAAGATGAGATACAGATTTTCTAATCTATAATTCTGCAATAAATCTGTATTTGACAGGACTAACATAGAAATCCCAATGTTTTCATTTTAGATGACAAACTTGCCATTTTGAGGATATGTGAGCACTCTGACAAAATAGCTGCTGGGTAAATATACCTAAGCACTAAATAGCTACCAAGTGGGATAGAACCAATTACAAAGCACCAGAATACCAAAATACTTCTGCCATTCTCTCCCTACCACCCCGATTCCTTTTGTGCTTTTTCTGGGCAAAAAAAAAAAAAAAACCAATTGGTACAGCTACCCATCAAATGTATGATGTCTACTTGGGATCCAGAAGTAAAATATTCCTTAGGTATCCCAAATCAGTTGTTGCTCCTCCATATCTGACCTTTAAAAATTGCAGAAGATCATAAAATGCAAAGACTTGCAAATAGAAATGGAATTGACTGTGGCAAAAAAATAGCAATAGCACTTAGAGTTATATACTGCTTCATAGTTCTTTATAGCCCTCTCTGGGCTATAAGCAGTTTACAGAGTCAGCATCTGTGGTGGGTTTCAAATTTTTTTACTACCGGTTCTGTGGGTGTGGCTTGGTGAGCATGGCATGGCATGGTGAGCATGGCATGGTGGGTGTGGCAGGGGAAGGATACTGTAAAATCTCCATTTCCACTCCAATCCAGAGGAAGATTACTGCAAAATCCCCATTTCCTCCCAATCAGCTGGGACATGGGAGGCAGAGAATAGATGGGGGTGGGGCCAGTCAGAATTTTTACTACCGGTTCTCTGAACTACTCAAAATTTCCACTACCGGTTCTCCAGAACTGGTCAGAACCACCTCTGGTCAGCATATTGCCCCCAACAATCTGGGTCCTCATTTTACCAACCTCAGAAGAATGGAAAGCTGAGTCAACCTTGAGCCAGTCAGAATCGATCTCCTGGCAGTGAGCAGTGAGTTAGCCTGCAATACTGCATTCTAACCACTATGCCACCATGGCTCGTCAAATATAGTACCAACAGTAAATAGGCACCTTGGCAGAGGTGAAATCCAGCAGGTTCTGATAGGTTCTGGAGAACTGGTAGCAGAAATTTTGAACAGTTCGGAGAACCAGTAGCGGAAATTTTGAGTAGTTCAGAGAACCAGCAAATACCATCTCTGGCCCCAGAGTGTGGTAGGAATGGAGATTTTGCAATATCCTTCCCCCAGGAGTGGGGAGGGAATTGGAATTTTGCAGTATCCTTCCCCTGGAATGGGGTGAGAATGGGGATTTTACAGTATCCTTCCCCTGCCACCCCTACCAAGCCACGCCCACCAAGCCACACCACGCCCACCAAGCCATGCCCACAGAACCGGTAGTAAAAAAAATTGGATTTCACCACTGCACGTTAGGTACAATCCAGGTGGTGATGGGAGCGACATGGAGTTCCCATGTGACACCTCTCCTGCGCGAGCTGCACTGGCTCCCAGTGGTCTTCCGAGTGCGCTTCAAGGTTCTGGTTATCACCTTCAAAGCGCTCCATGGCTTAGGACCTGGTTATTTACGGGACCGCCTGCTACCACCAATAGCCTCCCACCGGCCAGTACGCTCCCATAGAGAGGGGCTCCTCCGGGTGCCGTCGGCCAAACAATGTCGGCTGTCGGCCCCTAGGGGGAGAGCCTTCTCTGTGGGGGCACCTACGATTTGGAACGAGCTCCCCCCGGAGATACGTAGGATCCCGGATCTGCGCACCTTCCGCCGCGCGCTTAAGACTTTTCTATTTTATCAAGCTGGCCTGGCCTAAATCTTCCCCCTTTTTAAATGTGGAAATTTTAAATTTTTAAATTTTAAATTCGTCTTTTTATAGGGGTATGGGTAAGGCATTTTAAATTGGGGAGCCATTTTAGATTTAATTCTGTTTTAAACGTATTTTAATTGTTTATATTGTATGTTTTTAACTTTGGCTGTTCACCGCCCCGAGTCCTTCGGGAGAGGGGGCGGTATAAAAATCTAATAAATAAATAAATAAATAAATAAAACATCTGGAATATCACTTGGATTGGGCTTGACATATGCATGCTACTTTTTCCTAATTTCCTAATTAGGAATTTCCTAATGAGGTCCATCTAACCAGATCTAATTCTAATAAACTACTAAGCCCAGAAGATAGCTGGGTGCTGTCGTCTCTCATATCAGTTAATTAATGGCAAAAGTTCTTAGCATTTTTTGAAACCCATATGATGAAACCTGCATATGAAAGAAAGGTTTCTTCCAGTATATAAGCTACCCATTATCTAGGGAAAAATTGCAAGTCTGAGTTAAATGTATATGTGTGTGCATTAGAATATGACTTTTCAGAAGGTAGAAGCACAGATTTCAGTTACCAGATCAATCAGAATAAATGGAAGGTATAGTTATAACTCTACATATATGGACACACATATATATGAAATAAATTCCAGAAACATTTTTTTTTCCGAAACAGACCTAGAATGGCAGTGGGCACTGGGCACTGACCATAAATTGTCACTTTCTTGTAGCAGTATATGATAGATTATGGATTGAGTGGCAATGTGAAAGTGATAGAGGTACCTCAAACATTCAGGCATGTTTCTTCAGAAGGTTCGCTGTTTCTTAGAAGCAGCATGACAACTATGTGATGCAAAGGTTGCCATGGTGAGTTCACATCCTTTATTTAATGCTGTACCAAGTAAACAGCCACTTAAGTCATTGCTGTTATTCACTAAAGCTGTCAGCATTCCTGTCACCATTTCACTGCCTGCCTTGTTTTGACAGAAGCATGGCTTCTGGGAAGGTCCAAGCAAAAGTATGAGGGCTACAATAATAGGAAATAAGCAAAGCAAAATGTTCTCAGTTGACATTATTTCAAAGATGTAATTTCTATGCAACAGTTTTAGCATCTTGTATTGGAGAGCAACAGGTTCTCCAGCGGAACCAGTTCACTCAATACTGTTCATAGCCTCAGTCTTGTTTCAAGCCAATTTTGAGACTGTTGTCTATGGCCCAATAAGTAGATTATAATTTCATGTGCCTGTATTTACAGTATATACATTTTTGAAATTTGGCTCAAGTGTTTCAGGCCCTTTTTTCATTTGTTATATGTGAATGTCTTTCATCCTCCTTCCCCATTTCAAACAATATTAAGGAGGGGGATCAACATAATCAAGGGAACATTCAGAAAGCCTAATTCTCCTGTTTCTCTTGTTATAGGTCCCACTCGCTATATAAGTGAACTGAAGTGAGTAGTATTAGGGAAAGGGGAAAAAGAGAGGGACTGCTTTAATTCTTTTTTTTTTTTTAATGAAAACTATGCTTATTTCCTACTGCTGCTATGAAGTATCTCCAAAAACAAAAGCATTGCATCAGAACCAGTCTAAATAAGGTATGGCAAAGCATGATACTTATCTTCATCCTATAGCAAAAGGTCACAGGGTTATTCTAAAGACAGCTCTTTCAGAGGGCTTCTGGGGTGGGGATGAAAGTTGAGCTACTCCCGAACTGGAGGTATGTGCATTTGATGCAGTAGCATTAACTTCCCAGCAACTCTGATTAATAATGACTTATGTATCAAACAATTAGACTAGAGCTGGAAGGGACCCTGGAGGTCTTCTATTCCAACCCCATGCTCAAGCAGGAGATCCTATACCATTTTAGACAGATGGCTATCCAGTCTTTTTTTAAAACCTCCAGTGATGAAGCACCTACAACTTCTGAAGGCAAGCTGTTCCATTGGTTAATTGTTCTTACTGTTAGGAAATTTCTTCTTAATTCCAGGTTGCTTCTCTCCTTAATTAGTTTCCATCCATTGTTTCTTGTCTTGCCTTCTGGTGCTTTGGAAAATAAATTGACCCCCTCTTCTTTGTGGCATCCCCTCAGATACT